CCTCGGTGCTGCGCCCAAACTGCCAGCCTCCCTGCCAGCCTCGGGAGCCAACTCCCCTGGCAGCACCAAACGCTCTGAGCCCAGGACACCCAGCCCAGGACGGGTGCTTGAGGATGATGGCCCATCTGGCTCCAACCACCTCCTCCAGCATCCCTCTTCAACCCAGCCACCCTCTCCCACCACTGTCCTGGCCTCACAGCCCCAGGGCTGCAGCTGGGGACCCCGAGCCCTCCCACAGCAGCACAGAATTGGGAGACTGGCTCACCCCCACGGGGGAGCAGCAGGGCCTGAGCCCACCAACCCCTTTGGCCTCTCTGCCTCCGGCAGATCCCAGCCCCAGAGGGCACAGTGCAGAGACACAAGTCCCAGCAGCCCAGCGACAGCAGAGCCGGGCACCTGGGCTCCCCACACACCCCTACAAACACGGACACACACTCTGTAGTATATCTAGCACAGGAGACGTGCAGAGCAGGTCTTAAGGAATCAATCCTCAAACCTCTTTTCCATCTGATGCTCAAACTCGAGCCATCAAAATAATCAAGGTTCCTTTAACACCAGGCAAGATGAGGAACTACTTGCTTTTGTGGCTGTGTCACCTTTCTGTTTCCTCTTGCTGGGCAGGTGACCAAACATATAACCATAAAGTTGCACATTAGTTTTCACAGGAAAATAGTAAAACCTTTGCCCATGAAAAGAGGCACCTTAGGAACTTCTTTCCAAAATTTCCACGTTCAATTCATGAACATATAATCCAAGAACATTTGTTTTGCAGCTTCCTGAAGGAAGCAACCCATAGAACCCTCAGCAATCCCCAGGCTGAGGTGAGACAGCTTTGCTGAGACTAAATACACATTTTTAATGAACAATAAAGATACAATGTTTGCTATGGTGCAGCGAAAGCCAAAGGTTTAGACCAGACTTTTCAGTGGTATACCTCTTCCAGCATGGGTCACCTAGTGGCTGCAGTCCCCTCAGAAATAGGCCTTTTCAGCATGGACCTCCTTCATACAGTACACCTATGTTTCCAACAGTGTAGCTGAGCCAGCGCGCTTTGGGGTTAAATTCTGGTATGAGATAAGGTGTTTACATCGTTTTTGGAGGCAGCTGGAATTGATCCTGGCTGGCACTGAGCAGTTTGTGGTCTCCACACAGGTCACCACTGCCATCCCCTGATACTCCCTGCAATTTATGTCCTTTCCATTCCACCCTTCACCTCACTGAAAGAGATATTAAGAATTGTTTCACCCTTGTATAAACTCTACCTTTATCATCATCAAAATCTTGTTATATATTCATTATGCACTGTATTCCTTGTCCGTGCACACCAGACTAGTGTAGTTAACATCTCACCAGTGTGAACATAACACACATCACAAACCCACCCCTTCCCCAGCAGACAAAATTTTCAGGATCAACACTGCAACAATCTTAACATATACTTTCCAAACCCTTCTAAAATTTTTTCCAAAGTCAACCATATTGCTGGACTCCCAGCATTATCCTTGGCCACGCTGCTAATCTCCTGTCTTCTGCCATGCTTCCTTCAGTACGATACATGTAAACCACTCCCTGACACCCCACCAGCTGATCAGGGGATACCAGAGGGGCAGTAGTAACTGTGCTCAGACCTTGGAGCTTTCAGGCCACAGCATCAGTGATCACTGCTTTTTCTGGGTCCCTCCTCCCTTTGCCTGTAAACACAATCCAGCATCCAAGCCAGTAGAGTCAATTACCCCTTTTTCCCAGTCCCTCTGTGGGGGTTTCTCATCCGTGGGATCAGTAAGATCAGGCCATTGCTTCACACAGCCCTTCACTAGCGGATCCTAAAGCCTTCCTCCCTTTTGCAATGCACTGCTTCCAAGTAGTGTAGAGCACAAACACCCCAGAATTCTGCTTTTTCAAGACAAAGGCTGTGTCCCATTTGCTCCAGCTTCCCAGCACCGCCACAGCCACTGCAGGGACACCACCTGCTGCAAGTGTTCAGCATCTCTGTAATTTCATTCTGAACAAAGGACTGCCAAGGGAACGCTCACAGTCTGGAAGGCAGCACTCGCATCTCCACAGGTCTACTTAACCTTGCAACTCAGGCTGCCTGAAAGGGCTTTGGTTTTGTTTTGCCATCAGTCCTCAGTTTCCCCCCAGAGCTGCCAGGGTCCCCCTCTGAGGCAGGTCCCTCACTTTAAGACCACTGCAACTGCAACCTAGCCTACCTGGCACACAGCTTTCTGTCCCACCAGTTCAGTGCTATTGCTCACCTCTGACCAATGACCTCCCCTTCGCCCTGAGCACTTGTTAATGCACATTACTCCAAATATCATCAGCCTGACCCCCCCTGCTCTACTAAGTGGTCCTGGTCTCTCTGAAGCCCCATGTGCAGCACATGGCAAGCCCCAGCACACAGCCACATTGCAACAGCACACCCCCCTCCCCATGTTTCATGGCCAACCCCCTTGCAGCTCCCTGGCCAGTGCTTTTAGATCCTGCATGTTGAGACAGCACTACACCAGGCCGCTGGGACACGGGCTTGGATGAAGCACCTGCCTCTCTCTTCCCAATCACCTTCCCACCCAGCAATGGTCACAAGTCCCTCCTTTCTCCAGCTGTTCACACACTCTCTGCACTCACCCCAGGACACACACACTGCCCAACACTGTGTATTCCCAGCACCAGGATCATGGCTCCTTCCAGAGTCCTCCTCATCACTCCAGTTCTGGGCCGTGACAGGGCTGGGTGTCACACATCTTCCAACAGCTACCGCCCCAGGCAAACCTCTCATCTCAGGGCAACCTAAACTGATTTATTGCCAGTTAACTTCATATCACCAATTCAGGTACTGAGGAGGGAAAAAACACAGAAGAACCAAACCATAAATGCCTTTCCCTCCCTTCCTCAGCCTCGGTCTAAACCAAACACTAATCCCCTCCCTGTCCTCCTCACCGCTTCCACCATTTTCACAACAGATTACACCCAGTCCATCCCCACCCCTCCCCTAACGTGAGGGTGGACCTGGGTGCCCGAGGCTTCCCTTTATCACTCTGTCCTGCTGCCTGTGCCTCAGTGTTCCCAGGGTGGGCAGGCTGCTGTCCCCAGGGCTGCCACTGCCCGGCGGGGGTGGCCCAGGCCGCAGGCCCCCCAGCAGCCAGCCCCTTTGGGGTGAGGTGCTGCCCTCCTCCTCCCCTGGCAGGGGGGTTGTGTGCGTGTGTGTGTGGGGGGGTGCCATGCAGTCTCTTCCCATCTGCCCGAGCTCTGTCGCCCTGGGTGGCAGGACTGGTTTCAGAGCTGGACGGAACCGGTACCAACCAGCTTGGGGCAGTTTGCGGCCTCCTCCTGCCTGGGTCTCCCTCGCCGGGGTAAACCTGCCCTTCCCACACAGGAACGGCCAAAGGCGGCCGGAGCGCTTCCTCGGCTCTTGGCTGTGCCCCGCGGCGTGCTTTTTCAGCAGATGGATTAACAGACAAATAGTAGGGCGAAGACAAAAAGCCTCATCAACTCTGAGAAGATGACAGATCCACCAAAATATGCTCCTGGCTTGGTATGAGCTCAGAAAAGAGGCTGAGGTCTTCCACAGTCAGGTTCAGCCAAGACCCTCAGATCTGCGTCCCAGCACCCAGAAGTTGAAGTGGAGCACCCCACCAAGAAAGATAAACCTCCCCTTCTAAAGGCTCCAAACAAGGTAGAAATTCCTGCCTCCCTCCCCAGGGATTTGAGCTTGAAACCTACGTGCCCCCACCCCAAAACACTGGTTTGTTATGCCTGTATCTGTCAGTAGCCCTAAAGCTGCAGACCCCTCCAGCTCTCCCCCTTAGGAGTAGAGATGATCGCAGTTTGCAACTCTGTCACCTCCTTACTTTGCTTTTGTGCTTTTTCAGCAGGCCGTAGGCTCTCTGCCAGTAACGACTGCTTCCACAGGGACATGCCCACTTCCGTTGTTTTGAGCCCGGTTCTTCTCAGATACCAAATGCTGCCAGTCTCCAAAGTTACAACTTGTGATGAAATTACTGTTACTAAATGCAAAATCAGCAACACAAAATTAAAACCCCGTGATGCTACGCATCCTGTTGCAATGCAAAACCTCACACACGTATCAAGAAAAGAAGAAGAAAAATCTTCATCCCCCTCATAGTTCCTCATCACCAGCGCTCACTGTAAAGAAACAGCTGGCCATGTTACCAAGGACACAGCGTGCAAGATGTACCAGGCTGGCTGCCACCCCATGACATATGCAGTACTTCTTCCCTCAAGGCCCTGCCACCATGTGATGGCCCTCACCGGGCCTCCGGGAGAGGTGAACAGCAGAAAGCCAACTTGCCTTACAGCTGTGAGGGGAAAGTCTCCCCCTCACAAGAGCGAACGGCAAAAACAAAACAAAGAACTTGTGCATGAAGCCTCTTGTGATGAGATGGAGACCTCTCTCTGACAAGAAACTGCCAGGGAAAACCAAACACAAACAGCAAGAGATAAGCACTGAGTTATACAACAATTTTGTGATCCAAGTGCAAACACATCGCATCCTGATGGGAACAGCTGATGGCGCTAACACAAAACAGGAAGAACATTAAAGAGGAAAACCAATTACCTTGCCTGCCCTTAGTTAAATGGAGCAAAAAAATACCAAGCTGCAGGGAGCTGGGGGCCTCTGCCGTGGGAACGGCACCCAGAGCAAACACTCGTACCTGAAGAAACTTCTCCACGTGTCAGTAAGCAGTAAAGCCTCCCAGGCAAGTCTGTTTTTTTCCATTCCACTGCAACTTCTTCAACAAAACAGCATACTCTCATTGCAAAAATTTCAAAGCCAGTTTCTGATGTGAGATTACTGGCCATCTACCACGTATGATTACAATCGTGTATTTTATTCTGAGTTGCCCTCAGCACCTCCTGAAAGGCGGAGGGACAATTTGATCATTATGTCACTCATTTAGAAGTCAGTTTCTTTTCTGTGACTCCCAAAACACTTTTAAAAACCTCTCCCAACATTCAAAATAAAATTGTTGTAAACTCACTTTATCCTAAACTACTCCTAAGCCACAGCTCACTTTCCCTTGACGTGGAAGCTGCGTTTGTTCCACGTGGTGCTCTCGCCACTCTCACAAGCCAGCCAGGCCGAGGTTTCTCCAGCTCTCTGTCCCAGCACACAGGGTCGGAAGGGCAGGCCAACCGCCCCTGTCGCGGGGACACGCTCCTCCTGTAAAAAGGCATCAACCCTTCCTTGGCCTGGGGCACCCAGCCGGCAAACCGCTCTCGGGGCGCAGGGAGACAGCAGGGCCTCACGCCCCCTCCGCCATCCCAACCCCGGGGGCAGCCGAGATGCGGCCCCGAGGCGCTGCCGCAGGGCCACCGGGCCGGGAGCGGCGGCGCGACCGAGCACGGCACGCCGATCGCCTTTCACCGGGAGCCACCGCCGCCCCGGCTGACAAGCACCGCCCGGCACAAGGCGGCTGCCCGGGGCCCGGGCCCCGGCCCCGCAGCTGCGCCCCGGCGTACGGCACCGCCCCGCCGTCCCTCGCTTCGCGCCGGGGCGGGGCGGGCCTGGCCGCTATTAAAGGCGCCGGGATCGCAGCCGCCGGGGTGGTGCGCGCGCGCGTGTGTGTAGGGTTATGGCGACCTACGTGCAGCTGAACACCGGGGCCAAGATGCCCATCCTGGGGCTGGGCACATGGAAGGTAACGGGCACGGCCCTTCCCGGCCCCGCGCCGGGGCTCGGGGCCCGCCGTCCCCACCGCCAGCCCGGGCGCAGCGTTACCCGGCTCGGTACGGGGGTGCCGAGTACTGGGGGTCCCTCCCTGCCTGGTGCCCCCGAGCTCCCGCACCGCGGCAGGGCTCTGCCCGGGGCTGCGGGTTGCCCAGGCCCCCACGCTGGCCAAAAGCCGCCCCCCTTTCCCCCCCCCCCGGCTGGCTTCTGCCCCGGGCGGCCTCTTAAAAGTGGTATGGGGAAGTGAAGAGGTCTTGGCTCGGGGCTTTGGGAAAACTGTCCCGGCGTTGGGGCTGTCAGCTCGGCAAAGCTGTTGGGCTGAGCCCCGCCTGGGAGTGGGGTGACGGAAGGATGGCTGAAGGCTGGATTTCAGCTCAGGTGCTTGCATTCAAGAGGTATACGGACTCAGGAATGCTGCAGGGAAAACTGGGGCTCTGTTTAACAATGTTTGTGGCTTTTTTGCTTTATTTTAATTGCAGGATTGCTTTAGGTGGGGTGGATTTCTTAACTGAATTCATTAGAGTTTCTTGGATATTATTTTTTCAGTCCCCACCAGGAAAAGTAACAGCTGCAGTGATGGCTGCTATTGATGCTGGGTACCGTCACTTTGATTGTGCCTACGTGTACCAAAATGAAAACGAAGTTGGGGATGGGATCCAGCAAAAAATCAAGGAGGGTGTTGTGAAACGAGAGGACCTGTTCATTGTGAGTAAGGTATGAATCTGGTCATATAGGATTCCCAGAAGATCCCTGCTTTTTTCATAGTAAGCCCCCAGTTCTTTACTTTCCCACTCCGTGGTGCAGTATGGAGCAATTCAGAACATCCCTTAGTCAACTCCTGAGACAAGCCTCCTACTTTGCCTCATTCTATATGGAGAATTGTGCAGGGAATGTACCACTGATAAGGGTGATGCTTTAAACTTTTCCTGGCATTAAGTTATTCTGTCCTCTTATGCAGTATTTGACCTTCTACTATGTGGCTTTTAAATTAAATCTTAGTTAATGAAACCAGACTACTGCTGTCTGCCATGAGAGAAATCAGTCATGTGTACTGCCACTGCATATATTGCTCGGTATCACAGGCCAGTGAGTAAGCCCTGTTTGAAGATTAGGATGACTTAGTTCCACATCATCTTCCAAAAGGAACAGGCACTGTACTGAACAGGACAGAATGGCCCCAAGAGCTTTAACCCAGGAGGTCATGGTGTGCCTTGGCTTTTTGTCTCTAGCTATGGTGTACGTTTCACGACAAGCCTCTGGTAAAGGAAGGCTGCCAGAAGACTCTTGCTGCCCTGAAACTGGATTACCTGGATCTCTACCTCATCCATTGGCCTCTTGGTTTTAAGGTACAGTAACAGCAATGCTCTTGGCTTTGTCTGTTGTGACTGGCGGTTTTGAAGATCTAAATAGCTTTACAGCCCAGTAATTGCTCCAACCGACACAGATCATCATGTGTCTGTTGTGTACCTGCACTGCTCTGGTGCTCAGCATTACTCTGGCCATGTGAGCCAGGCCATTGATCCCTACCTCTGAGATTCCTGCTTGCAGAGCATCCTCTGCCCTTTTGATCGTGGAAGAGGTAGACCTTGAACTAGGGGCAGGTCTCCCTGCTGCAAGCAAAAGTTATATTGTTCTCCTTTTGATTACTGCCTGTGTGTTGTCTTCTGCACACTCATCTTCCAGTGATGCGGTTCCCTTTTTGTGGGAAGGAGGGCTGTGCTTTGGTGCCTGACAAATTCTTTCCTCTGCATGTTACAGAATCACAGAACAAGAGAATGTTTGTCTTCCATTTCTGTCTTTAATCAGTGAGTCCTTTAATACAGTACAGATTGAACTGACCTTTACTGTAGGAGCCTTAGTGTTCCACAGACCTTGGATTTCAAAAGGTGAAACTTTTTAGTTCCTAACTCTTTTACTGACTGCATGGAAAGGAACTGATGTCTCAGTTTGAATATTCATAAGCTTAGTCTTTCTGTTAGAACTTGATCAAAATCATCTATTTGTTGTTTCTGAGATCAGCTGTTTTTCATAGCATCTGTACTTTTAAGATTAGTTTTATATGGACAAAACTATCCAAGTGAAAATGTGTTGTGGTGCAACAACATATCAGTAGAAAACAAATGGGTTTGAATGAAGTTGCTACCTGGCATGTAGTCCTCACTGGGACGTAGGCTGTTTTAACATTCCCTATGCTAAAACAATGAGTCTCCCTGTGAAAGACCTGTCAGCAGATTTGGTCCAATATATACTGAACGTGTTCCAGGTCCTAAGTAGCTCCTTATTACACGTTTCAATACAACACTTCATTATGTCCACATAAGAACTGTGTGTTATTGTAATACTGAAAGTAAACTTATAAACTGGTTATAATTCTTCAAGTGGAGAGTTATGTTTCACCATGTGTATTTTGATGAGCCAGAGGACATTGTGTTCAGCATAAGTACGTGTCCTTATTGGGATGGCTATGGGCAAAAAAGCCATAATCACATGTGAAAGCAAAAGAAAATAATGTAGATAGTGAGTATTAGTATTATTTAATATGTATGTAGACAATAAGCATTAGTATATCCTGCAGTTGGAGTTTGTCATATTATGGTCTCCAGCTGGTGTTAACTTCCCACCAAAGAGTGTTTCAAGCATTTTCTTTGTCACTGACAGGCAGGAGAGGAGCTGTTTCCCACAGATGACAAAGGCATGTCTATACCCAGCAACACAGATATTCTACATACATGGGAGGTAAGTTTAGCCACAGCAGAAGAATCATGTCATCTGTTCTCAACAGTCTCTTCCATGTTTTCGTTACCTTCAGCAGTCTAAATTGTCTCATGTAGAACTACTTGGAAGGACTCACTGGTACAATAGTGGATTGTTGGGCATCATTATTTTCCAATTCTAACTTGCCATGAATTTTCAGTTTCAAAGAATGAGTCTTTGAGCTTTGGTGAAACAGGAGTAGTGCTCTGTTTTTTTTTCCCTCAAATGTGAACTCTGAAAATATGAATGTTTATTTTGTGCTTCTCATGAAGGAAATAAGCCATGTCAGGAAGAATGTTCTTCAAGCCCTGTCACATATACTAGATAACGACTTTGTGCTGCTTTCTGTTAGGCCATGGAAGAGCTGGTGGATGCTGGTCTGGTAAAAGCCATTGGAATCTCCAACTTTAACCATGAGCAGATTGAAAGAATCTTGAACAAGCCGGGACTGAAATACAAGCCTGCAAATAACCAGGTAAGCTGCAAAGTGACTTCAGGCAAATGTTTGGGGGGTGTTGGTGGTTTTACTACAATCTTATTATGAAATAAGGTTACAGAAAGAGAATGGAACAGATGCATCATGTTCTCTGTCCCACCCTTTAACTACTTCTGGATGTGCAAGGTCCTGGTTTTCATGGACTTTCTGTACTACTGTGTGGGAATCTGGCAAGGAGCAGCTCCAGAATACTTTTTTTTCTTTTTTTCGGAAGGAGGGTGGGCAGGAGGAACTCAGATGAGCTTTAAAAACTTCACTGAAGTAGAGTAAAACTTAGTGTATATATATGAGGACCTAACAGAGAATTGGATGACCTTTTTGCAACTCTTCTGTGGAGAGGCCAGTTCCTGTTGCTGCTGGCTGAGGGAATTGAACAGGAACATGCTTTATGGAGTACTTACAGACTTGATGAGGAAATGGAGTTGCAAGGTAGGCCGTAGAGTGGAAACGTCCAGGTATATAGACAGCACTTCCATAAAATTTTAGGAAAATTTAGGTGGTGGGGACTTTAGGAAATAATCTGCTGTAATTTACAGGTCAGAGCAGCATCATCTATGAAATCAGGCCAGGTTGCCCAGGGATTTATCCATATTGAAAACCTGCAAGGATGGAGACTGCACAGCCTCTCTAGGCAGTGTGTTCCCCGGCCTGATCCCTTACCTTGGGTGTATGAAGGAGGGAGGGAGTTTACTTGCATCCAGTCTCAACCTCTCTTGTCCTCCCACCATGCACCACTAAAGAGCTTGGCTTGTCTCTGGATGGCCTTTTTGGTATTGAAAAGCTGCTACTAGGAGACCTGAAGCCTTCCCTTCTCCAAGCTGAACAAACCCAGCTCCCTCAGCCTTTCCCAACACAGCAGGTTCTCCAGCCATCCTGGTGGCCCTCTGCTGAATTAGTGACAGTCTACTGGACAGAAAACTGGACACAGTATTATAAAGGTGGTCTGATAAGTGCTGAGTGGAGGCAGATGATCACTCCCCACAATTTACTGAATGTGTTCTGCCAAGGCTTGCTACTGGCTCATGTTCAGTTTGGCCTACTATGGTCCTCATGTTTTTTCCAGAATAGTTGCTTTGCAGGTAGTCAGGCTGCAGCCTGTGTTGTTGCCAGGGGCTTTTCCTTCACAGGTGCAAAGCTTTGTATGCAGCCTTGTTGAATTTCATAATGTTTTTGTTGGCCTGCTCTTCCTGCCTTAGTAGGTCCCTCTGAAGTGGCAGCCCTGCCCTTAAGTGTATTGACTGGTCCTCTCCCAGTATGGCATCACCTGCAAACTTGACAGGATTATAGCCTGACACAAGTTGTTGAAGAGTACAGGTCCCAGGCTAGCCACTTGTGGGGTCTGTCTAGACTTGTCCATGATTGCTATGGTGCTTAAAGGACTGCAGTCTCAGCTATTGATACCAGATTACAAGAACTGGTTGGTTTATTATGGTAGCATGAGCATATGTGCTGAAAAGGGATTTTAACACCTCTCTTCAGAAAGCAAATAAGATTTTCTG